GAGACACAGACATGCATATATACATAATTTAAAAGAAAAATATCTTTCTTAAATTGGTAAGTTAAGACTGTCTGTTCCATTACTTATGACTCTATATTTTTAAGATTCAGTCTCACTTTGTAGCCCAGGCTAGCCTTGAACTCCCAGTGATCCCTCTACCTCTGCCTTCAAAGTGCTAGGATTATAATCATGAGCCACCAGACCCAATAATATTTTTCTGGGTATTATTTCTGCAGTGAGGCAGGACATAACACAGCAGGAGGTAGTTCCTTCCATGTGAATCCAGCCATTAAGCCATTATCTTAAAGACTAGAAATACACTTTGCTTAGAAGAACAAACAAAAAACATATCTGAAGATGAACTCGTATTGATTCAATTACACATTCTTGAGTGACTGAGCCGTCCATACCTGTGGGAGCATGTGAAGAATTCCCAACAGGGAAGACTGGAAAAGTCCCGTGCAAAATGGGATTGCCAAAGCCATCTGACTTTTGTACAAATACAGTGGGGCCAATCAAACAAGGACTTGTTCCTTTCGGTGAGACCATGGCTTCCTGAGGCAAAACCCAATCAAGTTTGAGATGACAAGCAGAAAAGTTAGTTTAAAAATTACTTCCCGCTAGAGAAAACTGTTAAGCTTCAGCCCAAGAAGCTACTGTCAGGTTTTTGTGCCATGCTGACAAAAGGTACCCATAAAAACAAAAATGAAAGTAACATACGTTGAAATAGACTTTTAACTGCATTTGCTATCCCAAGACACATTTTGTCAGAGAGCCCCTGTTGGGAAGCACTCACACGAGTGCTGTAGTGGGTGTGGAGACACCAGAAGTGGCTGTCAGGCCCAGATGAGCCCCAGAGTGACCTCAGCCACTTTTCCTAAAGCTCCCAGATGAGTTTCACATGCTCCCTCGGCTGAGAACCACTGTAGGAAAGGAATTGTTTGTTATCCCTGCAGTTGTTCATATTAAAAAATTGTGCACCCCTCCCTCCAGCCTCCAGTTCCTCTTAGAGGCCCCCCCTCACTCACTGGGTTCTGGAGCATAGTGGGGAGAGCAGTTCCTACAATTTTCACCTCCAAGAAATAGAGGCTGGTCTTTTTAATTCTCTGCTACATCTAAGACTTAAAAGAGTCCAAGAACAGAACTGTATGTGGTGAGCCAGCGTCTACTCTGTAGAAGGCCCCTCTGCCTGCCTGCAGCATTTGATCCCGTTTATTCGTTCTTCTGAGTTTTTGGTAACATCCTCCTTTAGTGTCTTCCCTAAAGAGAAGATGCACCATGGTCAATGACCTTCCTTTACCTACTGGAAAGTACTAAGCCAGCATCAGCTACACTTCACTTAGCACTGCAGTCCCTGCCTACCCAATCATAAACCCAGCCACCCTGGGAGAGTGCTCCAGACTGTTGTCTATGACTGTGCCAGGACACAGAACAGAGAGCTTCTTAACAGCTTCTTAACAAACCAGAACTCTGCATAACCTGAGGCCAGCAGAATCCACACCTCCTAGGACCATGTGCGTGTGCTTGAGGGCTGTGGTTTCCAAAATGCCTGCATCAGCAGCTGCAGCAGCAGCAGCACCTGTAAGGGTTAGAGGGGTGACTTCCTCAGTGAGAACTGTGTCTGTGGTTTGGCCAGGCATGATGGCTCACACCTGTGATTCTAGCATTTGGGAGGCTGAAGCAGGAGAATTGTCACAAATGTATAGCCAACTGGGCATACATACCAAGATCTAGGCCAACCAGGTCCTTTTAGGAATAATCCAAAAAGTGGCACTTGGGCTAAGTCTACGTTTGTAAGTGGCTTGATGCACGCTAGGCATCAGGCGTGAATCAAGCCCTGCTTCAGCCTCTAATGCTGTATAATCTGGATGTGGTGCTTCCAATCTGTAATCCCAGCACTCAGAAGGACTAGGGTCATCTTCAGCTCTGTGGCACATTCAAGGCCAGTGTGGGCTACCTGAGACCTTGTCACAGAAATTAGTTAATTAATTCATTAGTTAACTAAATCAAAGTAAGACTGATCCCTCCAGGAGAGCCACACTGTGTTTCAGGAATTCTGCCTGGGCCACAGAGATGATAAAGGTGCTTGCTTCAAAACCTGAATCTGCCCTGGAACACAGGCTTATACAGATAAACGTGATCACTGAAAATCAGTTCCACACAGTTGTCCTCTGGCTCCACTGATTTCCTGTGCATTTTTCACCCATACATGGTAATAAGTGAAATGAAATTTGAGGAAAGCTTAGTTCTGGTATATCTTTCTGTCACAGTTGTTGCACGACATACTAATTTTTTCTAAGCAGCAATCTAGAGAAAGTAAGACATGAACACACTTTGGTGCTTTTCCACCCATGGTGCAGAACTAAAGCAGAACCCTCAGATGTCCTGGAATGCTCCTTCTGTCTGTTCTTCCCTCGCTCTCCTAGTAGAGCAGCTGCTTTTTAAAGAATTCTTTCATTTTGAGGTGTGTGTGTGTGTGTGTGTGTGTGTGTTGCATGCACACACACATGGTGCCTGTAGAAGCAAAAAAGGATATCAGATCCACATCCAGGACATCTGATGTGGGTGCTGGGAACTGAACTTGGGTTATCTGCAAGAACAGCAAATGCTCTTAACCACTGAGTCATCTCTACAGCCCCCTGAAAGACATTTTTAACTTTTCTCAGTAGTACCTATTGCATTCTTTTTGGTCTTTCTTCCAGCTTTTATGTTTTCTTTACCCATCTTAGTCAGATTACTATTGCTGTGATAAAACACCATCACCAAAAGCAAGTTGGGGAGGAAAGGGTTTATTTTATTCAACTTACACTTCCATATGACTATTCATCACTAAAAGAAGTCAGGACAGGGATTCAAACAGGGCAGGAACCTGGAGGCAGGCGCTGATGCAGGGGCCATGCTGCTTATTGGCTTACTCCTCGTGTCTTGCTCAACGTACCTACCCCATCGATAACTAATTAAGAAAATGCCTTACAGCTGGATCTTCTACAGCTGGAGGAAGGTATTTTCTCAGTTGTGGTCCCTCCTTCCCAGTGACTCTAGCTTGTGTAAAGTTAATATAAGCCTAGCCAGCCCATTACCTATCATTTCATTGGAAACTTGGGGCAAATAGTTTAACCTGTCTCTTGACTTATCTGTAAAAAAAGAATAATAATGTGGTGTTGCCTTATTCGTGAGTTGTTAAATGGGTAGAGGAACACCCAGCAGTGTCCATTTTAAAAGTAATTTTAATTCATAATGTTAAATAATATGTATACAGTATTTTATGACAAAACAGTACAAGATACATAATATGCACCATGGAACCCTATGATTGATTGATTGATTAGCAATTTTAGTACAGTAGACATTGGAAACTTTTTATAGTTGCCTTTTGAATATTGTGTGCATGGCTTTTATTTGCCTTTAGTCTTAAGACTTTTCTATAATAAATAGTACTCCTTGTCAAGTCTGAATCTTTGTGTGTCCCCAAGTACTCAATGCATCAACTCCATTGGCATGGAAGACCAGGTGCCTGTACACAAGGGACCTCTCAAACATGTTCCCTCCGAAGACCCCAGAGAAGACAAGCTGCTTCTGCGTGCCCCGCTCTGGAGTCCAGGAGGCTCTACCTGGAACATCCTCTACAGATAATAGACCACTCAAAAATGGTCCAAGCACTTCTTGGGTCTTAACTACATTCGGGTTTATTGGTTTGGTATGGTTTTATGAAATAGGATCTTTCTATGTAGCCAAGGCTGGCCTGAACCTTGATGTCTACCTGCCTCAGCCTCCAGCCTGTTGGGATCATAGGCAAGCACCACCAGCTTGGCTCTTATGGCAGTTTTTTAAGATTTATTATTTCATGCATATGAATGTTTTTCTCGAATGTATGTATGTGCACCACATAAGTGCCTGGTGCCCTTGAAGGTCAGAAGAAGGCATTGGGTTCCCTGGAACTGAAGTAAGTTGCAAATAGTTGTGAGCCACAATGGCTATAGGTGCCAGGAACCAGACCTGGGTCCTCTGCATGAACGGCATGTGCTCATGCTCTCTGAGCCATGTTTCTGACGTCTATTCAGGGAAGAGAAGAGGGCGAAGAAGGTAGGATTATCCCTGACAGTTTGCTAAAGGACATAGTTCTACCTTACTTCACATGTACCCAGAGCCAGTTCGTGTTTGACCAGCCCTTCTTTTCTTCATTCCTGGATGTACTGAAAATACACTTGAATAGACTTTTTTTTTTTTTAGATCTTCACAACTAAAAAGCAGAACATAAAACTTAAAAGGTAGATAAGGTTTAATAGGAATTAAACCAACAAAGAGAACAAGCTAACCTAAGTCCCGAATACAAGGCAGCTCCCCTCTCAGTAGTCGTAGAAGAGGACTGTGGCTTCTACTAATTCTGTGCATCAGGATCCAACAGCAAGGCCGGTAGCCTGGTGTCCAGAGCAAGAGAGGTTAATGGCCCCGGTGGATGAATCATGCAGGTTATAAGGCCATTCTGTGTTCCAAGTTAAGAGAGAGTGAGATCTGCCCATAGCAGTACAGCTGGAACAGGAAGGGGAAGCCCCTTGTGATGGAAAGGAAGAGATTTTCATCTGAAGAGATTTTCATCTGAAGAGAAAAGAGAGAGTCAGATAATGGTGTTCAGATGCCTACAGGGTTACCATGGAGAGGGCAGAATTAGGCCCGTGAGTGGAGTCCTAGAAACCCTGTGTGACAATCAGTTGTACTAACAGTGAAGCGTCCTGTCTCATGAGCGTCAAGTCATTACAGGACCCAACCCAGAGCCTCTGGTGTATTACAGAGGTCCAAGTCCTGCAGGAAGTCTGGACTTTTCCCCTGGGTACTTCTGGGGCTTTCCAGTTAAGGTCACTGGGTTTGGATTTGTTGGGTGTCCAGAAGAGGTGCAGGATCCCATTTTCGGAGGTGGTTCCCATTCTCCTGTATCCTTTTCTGGGGGGGAAAACCAAACAAATGAAATTACTACTTCTTTCTTTCTGCTTTTTTACTTGTAGCACTGGAGAGTCTTGGCTTCTGGGAAGATGTGAGAAGAATTATCTTGGGGTCAGAGCTGATTACGGGGTTCCCCTGGACCTTCAAGGTGCCAGGCCTTCCCCAGTACCTGCAGAGCCTTACCAAACTAGCCATCCCTGAAGTGTGGGCATCGCTGGCTGAAGCTGAAGGGCAGGCGGCTGCTGTTCCTCTTTCCTTCTCTCGGCTTCTGAAGTCTTCCTTTCCTGAAGTGCGCTTGCTAGCCCTGGATACCCTGCTGGAAAGGGCAACATCCTCCGAACAGGGACAGACAGGGCCACCGTCCTTGCTCTACAGTATGGGGGAGGAGTTCCTGCTGCTGGCAATGAAGGAGAGCCACCCAGGATGCTTCGGCAGGGTAGGCTCTCTGCTGGGGCAACATCCTTCTGTCCCAAAACTTTGGAAACCACCAGGAAGATACAAATGAGATCAAGTTAGGCCTGTACTGTCTCAAGCAACAGACAGCAGCTTAGCATCCAAAGATCAAGGCTCTATACATTGCTTGACTTTATGTATAGAAAGAACCCTATGATGCCAGTGGTACTTATAAAGATTTATTGGTAATAGGTCAAGCCACTCTGTCTTTAGGAAAGATCATTGAAAATTAGCTGTGGGGGGTGGAGAGATGGCACTGTGGGTAGTATTTGCCACACAATCCTGAGGACCAAGTTTAGATCTCTAGCACCTATGTAAAATGCCAGCTGGGTATGGCAGCCCACCTGTTATGCCAGCACTCAGGGGTTAAAGATGGGGTTCCTGGGGAAAGCTGACTAGAGAGACTACCCAAACAGTGAGCTCCAAGGGCAGTGAGAGACCACAGAGAATGGTGAACGGAAACAGCTGACGTCACCTCTGGCCTCCATTAGCTACAGACAGATCAGGGCTCTTCTGTTTGTTTGTTTGTTTTAAGGAATTATTTATTTATTTTATGTATGTGAGTTCACTGTAACTGTCCTCAGACACACCAGAAGAGGGCATCAGATCCCGTTACAGATGGTTGTGAGCCACCACGTGGTTGCTGGGAATTGAACTCAGGACCTCTGGAAGAGCAGTCAGTGCTCCTAACCACTGAGCCATCTCTCCAGCCCTCAGGGCTCTTTTTTGCTTGCACATCTCTTTACAGTCAGATGGCTACCTGAAAAGTCTAGTCAAAATGAACATGAAATCTCAGATATTAAGGAAGCTACAAGTTCAAAGGTTCAAAGGTAACCTGAGTACTTAGTGAGACCCTGTTTCAAAATTTAGTAGTCAAAAGTGTGTGGGGGGGGATTCTGCTTGCTCTAGCATGTGTGAGACCATATAGGCATTTAGCTTTGATGTTAGGTCACCAAGAACCCTCAAGCTTATCATTGCCCTGCCCTGCCTCAGTTTCTCAAAGATGTTAGAAAGGAAAGAAGTCAGTGAAATTTGGTGACCTTCTGAAAATAGATTATCCCTTTCTTGTTAAAAGCAATCTTGATTTAGGAGCACAAGACCTTTCCCTGTGTGTTTCTTTATCTTGTTTTCTTGGATTTGACTCATAGGTCCTGAAGATTCTCTATCACTTGAACCCCAGTGAATGGCTTCCCCAGACAGAGTGCTATGTTCACCTCTCCCCAAAGGAGTTCCTGATCTGGACTATGGATATTGCTTCCAATGACAGGTCTGCCCCAGGTCTTTGGTGCAATCTTGCTAGACTTCAGTCATCATGCAGGGAGCTTGCTCCCTGTACTCCCTAAGAGCTCAGATACTAAGGTTCTTTCTAAGTCTCAGCCTAGGAGCTGTGTTCTAAACTCTACTAACAGAAGTATCAGGTTTTCACACTAGTACTCAAAAAGTACAAGCAGTATACAAGCAGGGAAAGAATTCATACCTACAAAGGCCATGGACTATCCACATAGACATTTGTCCATAAAATATGTTAAGTTTGGGCCTGGAGATACAGCTCAGATGGCTGAGGGCTTATCTAGCATCAGCAAAGCCCTAGCTGATTCCCAGCATCACAGAAAAGCAGAGTGGTAGCACATACCTATAATCCCAGTACAAAAGCAGTGGAAACGAGAGGATTGGAAGTTCAGGGTCAGCTTTGCCTACACAGTGAGTCTGAGGCGAGTTTGGGTTGTGTAAGACCCTGTCTCATCCTAAATGTTTAACTTGACTTGTGTGTGCAGTAATTGTTAAGGATTTGTGAGTGTGCATGTGCCTGTGTGTTAATTTTCTTCTATTTTCCAGATCTGAAATCCAGGGTGTATCTCTGAAGCTCGCCTCTAAAATAATTGCCTACCATGTGCAGAGTTGTGAGAAGGTGAGGCTAGTTCTATACCTGTCCTGAGGGCTGGGATTTTACCCAGAGTGTGTCAGTAAAAGGTAACAGTCCCAGCAAACAGAATCGTAGTGACTCCATAGAACGGTTGATGGTGCTGAAGGTTTACTTTGGGAATCACCTGCAAAGACTCAGAACTCATGCTGCCTTCTCTCTTGTTTTAGCCAGTTTTGACTAGAGCCTTTCAGAGTGACAGTCCCCAACACACATATGTCCATTGCTTCCTCCCCATTTCTGTAGCTAGACTGTATTTTTAGAGGATTAAGCAAGTCAATGCTTAGAATATTTAGAATTTCAGTTTATAAGCTAATAAGTCTGATGATATATTACACAGGCTGAAGGTGAGGTAGGTGTAGCTGAACTGTATCTGAACCAGGTCCCATGTGTGCCCTACCTGTTCCACGTGCCCTTTGAAGGTGAAGTAGAGCAAAACAGCTCTGTGGGAAATGCTGTGAGACAGATACATGCGTACCTAGGTGTGTACAAGAGGCAGAGTTCCAAGGGTTAGCAACCGCTGCAGAAGAGGGCAGAAAGACTGTAAGAGCCAGAACAGGGAGAAGGCAGGGAAATCCCACCTCCAGACACAACTCATCGGTAGAATCCTACACTCACAGTAGCTGTGCTTACCTATACCAGGCCTGCACAACAAGTCCTCTCAGCAGTCCACTCATGGATAGAGGAGGACTCTATCCCTTGAATCACAGAACTAATGGACTCTGAGAAAGCTGACTCATTTTAAGTTGTGTAAGCTCTAGTGAACCCACCAGACTCCAGTGGAGAGTTTCACTACTAAGACCACACAGGTGGTATTGATCAAACCTAGGGGAACACAAAACAAAGCACAGGTGTGGGAGAGGCCAGGGAAGAAGGGAGGGCACAGGACATGGAAGGAGGTGAGCGAGTGGGGTGAGCAATAAGAATACACTTTATACTTGGATAAAATTATAAAGAGCGCATTCACCGTCTCAGGGTCGTGAGTAGGCAGTGGCCAGTCTGCAGTGCACCTCTTCTCGCTGTGCTCCTGGCTTCTGCATGGTCACAGGGAAGCCAGCACCAAGACACATGCTGGGGATCCAGAGATGCACAGACTGTTGAGAGACAGACTGCTGGGCCACTGTGGCAAATGGCAGGACTCCAAACCCAAGGGGAAGGAGCGAGTCCTCGGTGGCTGAGGAGCACCTGAGAGAGGAGGGTGTTTAACATCAGATTGCCCAAAGGCTGGGCCAGGGTTAGCATTAGCAAGCAACCATCCTTCGCTCTATCATTCAAAGGCATGACCAAACCTAGGTCACGGGAGTTACAAAAATTTTAAAAATAAATAAGTAAAAAAGAAGAAAATGGTGTTTGGAAGGGTAGGAGAAATATGGTAAGACATGATTTGTTTTAAAAAGTTAAAGAGGTCTGGGGCAGCTCAGTAGCAACAGTAGCCTAGCATGCACAAGTTTCTTCCCCAGCACTACAACAAAACAAAAGGACCATAGAGAGCACAGCTACACAGGGAGATGCTGGCTTGGGAAACAAACAGCAACAGCAAGCCACAATAAACCCCCAAAATCCCAAAAAACTGGAAACATTTTCTAGGGAGAGAAAAATCCACAGAACGGTAGATGGCCATGGAGAAACACTGAAGCTCTGGGGAGGGGGCTGGCATCAGCAGCTGAGAGCCTCAGTTCAGATCCATAGAGCCATTGCCCCAGAGCAACCAAAGAAATCAGTAGGCTCGTGTGGTACAGTTAAAGTCCGCTCCTGGTGAGTATCTTGGAATACTGTTCTCTGGTTCTCTTTTGGAGAACTTCATAATGAAAGACATTTCTTCTCCCACTTTTGAGACTTCCCAGAGAGGGCCTTTTCACTGCCTAATAAGACTGCAGACATGGCAGTGTGTGGCACATGGTAAGAAGGTATGAAGAAAGGGAGCAGACAGACAAACAGATGGGAGAATTCACTTGTACAACAGGGCTACTCCTGTCACGATTAGCCCAGCCTGGAGACAACAGCATTTATCCATGAATGCCACGAGGGCCCCACTTTCGTGACCTCATATAGCATGTCACCACAGCAGTTTGATTTCAACATGACCTCCAAGTGTACCAGGAAGTAATTCACAGGAATGAGAATCTTCTCTCTAGGAAAAGTGAGAAGTGATTATAAGTGCTAAAAATAAACCAAATGCCAAAACTCAGAGTACAATATTATTTGACCTTTTAAAAAGGAATAAATAAAGCTTAGAACCCTTAATCTGCTGGGTATGGTGGTGTATACCTGTAATCCCAGCACTTGGGAGGTAGAAGGCGGAAGAATCGAGTTCATTGCCAGCCTGTGCTATGTGAGACCCTTCTAGAAGAAAGGAAATCATCATTGTGTGAAAAAGAAGTTCCTCACAGAAAGGAGATCACACAGAACCCTGCAGAGCCACAGAGCCAGGAGGACCGAGGATGGGGAGGGCAGTAAGAGTGTTCTGATGTTGACCACCACAGAGAAGTCGCTGTGTTTACTTTGACCCTGACATCACAAAACACAAGTCAGCATCACTGTGTGCCACAGACACGTTCATCTTAGGTGTCAGTCAGAGTTGCAAAAGAAAAGTGGGCATTGTGTGCCAATGAAGCTATTGTTACTGGCTCTCTCGCGCTCGCTCTCTCTCTTTCTCTCCCTCCCTCCCTCCCTCCCTCCCTCCTTCCCTCCTCCCCTCCCTTTCTCCCTCCCCCTCCTCTCTCCCCTCCCTCTCTTCTTCCCTCTCTGTCCCTTTCCCCTCTCCCCCTCTCTCTTTTGACTAGTGCCCTTTCTCTCTTTTTCTTCCCCACCCCCATGTTGACTTCCCTGGCCTCAGCCCTTGGAGCCAGTGAACTTGCCCACCCAAGAGCAGCTTCCCAATAAACCTGCATTTTATATACTAAACAAATAAATTTATATACTAAACAAATAAGTTCTTGTTGCTAATAGCAGTGGGGCTTTGCTCCAAGTGCTGCTTCCTGGGGCTGCAGGTATACAACTTGATGAAGCCCTTCCCTCCTTCTGTGTTCTCAGAACAGAGATTCACTCACCCCTGAGCTAAGGCAGTGGGTCCAGCTGGTCGTCTGGTCCTGTGAAGACCATCTTCCTACTGCATCTAGACTGGCTGTTGCTGAAGTCCTCGCAAGCACCGCACCCCTGTTCCTCACTAGTCCCCAGCCAGTTCTCGGTAAGTGTGCTAAACGAGGCCCCTGCACCCAACTCAGCAAACACAGGAAGAGACAAACATTCCAGGCTAAAAGAAGGGGTGCTTAGCTAGGCTCTGGTGGTGCATGTCTTTAATCCCAACGCTTAGGAGGCAAAGGCAGGAAGTGAGTTTGAAGCCACCCTAGTCTAAGCAAATTCCAGGATAGTCAGGAATACAAAGAAAAACCTTATCTTAAGGGGGCAGGGAATGGTGTCATATGTGATGTTTTTACATGTTTCCATGGTATTTTCTTAGAGTAGTTTACATTCTGAATATTTCCTACCAATGGCTGCTTTTCTTCTTTTCCTTCTATCTTATCACCCAGGCCATTCTACATACATTTTTTTCAGAGCACCCATGAACTTTGCAGTCTTTCCTATCTGTAAATTTGGCCCCTTTGGTAGTCCATTACTAAAAACCATCATTTGAGACAGTGTCACTATGTAGCCCAGAAGAACCTTCAACTTGAGAAATTCCTCATGTCTCAGCCTCCCAAGTACTGGGATTATCAGTGTACACCAATGTGCTCAGCTGCTGAAGAGTTTTGAGTGGGTTCCTGCTGTTTCAGGCTAGACCTACATACCCTTAACATGGATCACTAGGCCCTTTCTGTTTTTCTGTTTCCTCACTGGCCCACCTTACTGCCTCATCATCTGCCACACCCTTCCTCAGACCTATGTGTCCTCAGTAGGGACCAACTCTCTATAAACAACTTGATTGACTTGTTTGCCTTTCAAAACTCAGCCTATTCCAGGAAGCCAGAAAGGACTTCCTTAAAAGACACCAGGAAGTACTTTCCAGTAGACTCTGTGTTGCAGAGGCTGACTCCTGCTTCTGTCCAATGTCCCTGCTGGGCTGCTGGGTCCCTTCGCTACTGAACTTAACTTGAAGTCAGTCCTAGGATATAAAAGGCACTGTTTCAGTCAGGTGGTTGTGCAGCTCAGCTAGCTGACTTCTAAACTGGGTTCCCTCCTCACTGCCGCTCCCATACCTAGAGAGCAGTAACTAGGAAAAGCTTCAAGCCAGCAGTGCTGAAGAAAACGGAAAGCCTTGGAAAATGAAGAGCACAGGGGGCGTTTATGTAATTTTTTTATTATGCTGCTTAAGAGTTTGTTTTGATTTATAAACATTAAGGTTTAGTTAAAGGAAAACCAGGAACACAGAGACGGCTCTGGCACAGACCTTGCCCTCTTCTGCATGTGGACTTATTACTATGAGGTGCTCACTTCCCATCAGCTAGTCACTGTCTGTCTCTCTCTACTTCTTCCATGCTTGCCCTCAAGAATCAAGCAGGCCAGCCCCAAGGAGCTTTCAGTTTTGTTGTAGGGCTGGGGAAAGAATTGGTTTTTAGGTGTTAACACTGAAATATAAGCATGAACAGTCAGAACCTATAACACTGAAATATAAGCATGAACAGTCAGAACCTATGAAGTGCCACTGACTGGTACAGCCTTTGTCTGGGAAGTAACATCATCAGCGACCTTCCTGTTATGACTTAATTACTGAACCAAGAGCAATAGGAGAAAAGGCTAACAAACTTTGGTTAGGTCAGGCATGGTGGTTCATGCTTGCAATTCTAGCTGCTTGACAGGCCGAAGGCCGCAAAACCAGCCATATTAGCGTGGTGAAGCCTCTGTCTCAGAGGCAGTTTGTTTTCCTCTTGGGTCAAGCATTCTCAGTAAGGGCAATAGCATCTTGCAGCACATTTTCCTGAACAAGTTTGCTTGCTCTGTCACTCAAACAAGTAAATGTGTGTGAAATGACCTGAAATTGTCGTGTGGAATTGAGTCGTGTTCCTGTTAGCTGCTGGCACTGGGGATGGTGTGATCAGCAAAGGCCAGTGGCCCGACATGCACATGAAGAACTGCAGCCAGCCTGCGTGACGTGGACTAAAGAGAAGCACTTCAGGGGTTCAGATGCCCTTCTTAAAGACAAAACTCAAGATAGATTCTTCAGTGGCACATGCCTGGAGTCACAGCCTTTGGGAGATAAGAAAAGCAGGAGGATTTTAGGAGTTCAAGGCCATCTAAGGCTAACAGCAAATCTGAGGCCAGCCTGGGATGCTAGAAACCCAGTCTCAAAAATTAAAAAATAAAAGTGTAGAGTCTATAAGAAGGAGTAAAGGTTAAAGGCTCATCTGGGGGAGGAGGAAGAGAACAACTCCGGATGGCACTGTTGATGGGGTGGGGGCGCTAAGACCACTGCCATTAAAGACATGCTGGGTGGTGCTCTGCCACTGCCCTCAACTGATGCCCTCCACAGACCTGCACTCACGCTGCCTGCTGCCTCTCTCTCCCTCTAAAATATGTCCCGGTGGCCCATCCCCATGTCTTCTGCAGCCACTGGGCTTCATGTCGACTTCTCGTTAATCTACATTCTAGAGTCTTGCTCTTGGTGCTGCTCAGAGCACATTCTGCCTTTTCATCTGTCCACAGCAGCACCACATGGTAACCTGCAGACTTAGTGCTGAGAGCCAACAGTAGCAAAAGTGGGCCCCAGAGATATGGAACTGAGGATGGCCCTTTTTCATATGCCTTCCCCACTTCTGATTCCTGTCCCCAAACATATTAACACTTTGCTTTCCAGAACTGGTAAGTTCTCACAGTCTCTCAAATCAATACTAAACTAGTTTCTGCAAAGTGCAAAGCACACTTTGGTTTTTTGAGTCAGGGTCTGACCATGTAGCTCAAGCTGGCCTTAAATTCACTGCATAGCCAAGGCTGGGATTACTAGTGTATACCACTAGCCTTCAACTGTTTTTTCTTCCTGACACAGGGTCTCATTATATAGCCCTGGCCAGCCTGGAACTCTATAGACCTCTGGCCTTGATCTCACAGGCATCTACCTGCTTTCTGAATGCTGAGATTAAAGACATGAGAAACATTCTTATTGCATAAATCATGACACTGGAGAGGGTTGCCCAGAGCCTTGTAGGCCAGTCAGCATCTCCTGGAGTGCCTAAGGCTGGTTGACTACAGAAGGCTTTCCTCCTCCCACAAAAACAGATGTGTCCAAGCTTCCCCAGTAGGGTCCTCTCTATCCCAGTGTTGTTCCGATCCTCAGGTCTTCCTGTCTTACAATAACACCCCCCTCTCAAAAAGGATGTGTGTCGCTTCTTCATGAATGTCTTCATCCCACATGAGTCTGAAGCAGTGTTACTACATGCTTATTGGTGGTACTGCAGATACCATGAATTCATTCCCTTTGGTTTTCTTCACAGAGTTGCAGGACACACTTTCTCTCTGGAGGTGTGTTCTTACCCTTCTGCAGAGTGAGGAACAAACCGTCAGAGAGGCAGCCACAGAAATTGTGACAACAGCCATGTCACAAGGAAACACTTGCCAGTCAACAGGTACTTTGTTCTTCACTTTGTATCATACCTTACTGCTCTATACCAGGACTGGCAAACGTACCATAAGATGTCATATAATGAATAGTTTAAGTTTTGCCTAACCATTTAGCCTCTTCCTCAACCTTGCAGTTGTGATAGGAAACAGCATTTAAAAGCCACAAGGCATTGTGATAATGGGACAAAGTATTCTTTAGCACTAAAAACAGAAGGGAAGGATAGGGCCGTTACATTCAGTGGGGACAAGATGAAGTACCCAGGCTCTAGCTTGATCTTCCCACAGCACAGTTCAACTATTGGGAACCCTGCTGCTCCCTTCACACAGCTGGCCATTGGTCCATCTGACACCAAGCATTAACTCTACTCCTCCCACCACAGCACCTTCTCATGCTCTACACAGACCTGGCTTCTCTGGAGATCTGTAGTAGGAATTGGTTAAGGATTCTGGAAGGCCCAAAAGAAATTTTAACTCAGGGGGCTGTTAAAGATGATTTAGTGGTTAAGAGCACTGACTCTTCAGAGGACGTGGCTTTGATTCCCAGAACTCATCTAGCCCCTCAGAACCATCTGTAACTTAACTTCAGTTCCATATGCTCCAGTACCCTCTTCTGGCCTCCACAAAGTACACAGGCATATATGTAGGCCAAACATTCACACACCTAGGATGGATGGGTGGGTGGGTGGATGGGTGGATGGGTGGATGGGTGGATGGGTGGATGGAAAGGAGAGAGGGAGGCAGGGAGGGAGAGGGAGGAAGAAAAAGAAACAGAGAGGGAGAGGGAGAACAGGAACACAGAATTCAACACTCAGATAGCTCTCCTGGAGACTGGTATTGTATTCATCATCTTTTGCCTGCTGGATTCTGCTATCTACAGCACTCCATCTGGGCCACCTGGAAGATGGCCCAGTTGACACAGCAGCGCCTGGAGCTCCTTCAGCCTTCACAAATATGGACATAAGAGAGGTCCTATAGCAGGCCCTCCTACCTCTAACCTCCACTCTGTGTTAGACCCAGCCTTCAAATGGGTACAGAAGAAATGGCCTGCCTGGGACTTTAGAGGAATGAGCTAGCTCTGCCTCCTGAATGCTGGGATTAAAAGTGTGCTCCACCACACCTAACTCATTCCTCTATTCTTGGTGATGTCACATAATTTAATCCCAGCATTCAGGAGGCAGAGGCAGGTGGATCTCTGAGTTCTAGGCCAGCTTGGTCTACAGAGCAAGTTCCAGGACAGCCAGGGCTACACAGAGAAAAACTGTCTTGAGAAGCAAAAAAAATAAATAAATGAAAAATAAAACCATGGATGAAGTTTGCAGCTAGGAGAGTATGTCTGGCTGGGTCTTGGAATACACAAGAAAGGTCTCTAGTTCACCCAGGATACCGTGAGCCATCTTTGCAGTGCCTCATCCTAACAGCCTACTTTTACCTGTGTATGTTCTAAACTGAACTTTTGAACAAGGGATTCCATACGGGACAATGTTTAAGCTTAAAATACAAAGTTTTTCTTGTACTCCAGTTAGGAAACAGCATTCTGGGTGAGAACTAGGGTTCCTGGGAGCTGGAGACAGACAATGGCTGGCATCCTGAGCCCTTTTCCCCTGAACTGGTTCACTCTCTACCCTCTCAGCTTTAATCAGGCTTTGCCCCCTGATCACTTGGGCTTTCTCTATACCAACATGTCAGATTTTAAAGAAAAAAATAATTCTGATGACCAGCAGTCTGCTTGCCTTGATAGAGGATAAGAAAGAGAAGCTATTTAACAAGGGATTATGTGTTTAGGTTCAAGAAGGCTCAATACAAATGTACCTATGAGAAAAGTAGAAACAATTTAGGAAAGAACCAGGCATGGAGTCACATGCCTTTAATACTAGCACTGAAGAGTCAGAGGCAGGTCACAGAGGCAGGTCAGCTTGACATACAGAGACATAATGAGGCCCTATTTAAGGAAAAAAAAAAAGACTTAGGGAACAGAGAGGACAGAGAAGTATAAACAGAGGCACATATGCCTGCCTTCATCACACATTTTGGAGCTCTGGTTCTGGTCTCTCTTTTTTAGGCTCCTAAACCACCAAGGATCACATAAGACTTTATCTTCCACCATGAGAGTATATTTGGTGGTAGTGCTCTGCCTACAGACTTCTGAGATCTGGCCACTGTGTCATCCCAAATAACTATGGCTTTCCTTTTCTTCCGACATTTCCTTTTCTGCATGCTATAGGCTTCTTTGTACAGGTAGCCATGGGCTTAGAGGTCATCCTCTTCTTTTATGTCATTGGCTTGTTTTTTTGTTTTTTGTTTTTGTTTTTGTTTTTGTTTTTGTTTTTTTCGAGACAGGGTTTCTCTGTGTAGCCCGGGCTGTCCTGGAACTCACTCTGTAGACCAGGCTGGCCTCGAACTCAGAAATCCGCCTGCCTCTGCCTCCCAAGTGCTGGGATTAAAGGCGTGCGCCACCACCGCCCGGCTATTGGCTTGTTTTTTAATGAGGGTTTTGTTGTTTGTTTGGGATCTCTTATAGCTTATAAAAGCTAACCTTGAACTCTTGATCTACACTTCCACTTCCACTGAGTGCTAAGCTTACAGATGTGCTCCAGCTTCCAATTTTGTCTTCTTCAGATATACAGTGAATGCTCAGTTTTGACCAATGGCTTGGTCTCTACCCACTCAATTCCTAGTTGCCTATAAAAATTGAAAATGCCATTCTGAAACCAGCAGCTGGACTATCCCTACTAGAAGCAGCTAAAGACCTCATTCAGCACTGACATATAAAGCTGTAGCTACCTGTCTGCTTCACTCACTCATTATCTGCAGCTTGCCAGCCTTGGCCTGGGTCCTGTCCTCCTAACTTTCAGACCTAGGTCTCAGACTGTAAAGCTGGGAGCTAGCTTGGGGTGATAGAGGCCATGGACACAGACTAACCAGGAGATTCTAAAGGAGCTTCCTGGGCTTGTGATAGACAATAAAAAACTGGAATCATAGTGAGCCTTAGCAGAGAAGCCAAAGAATGAATGGAAGCGTACCTAATGGACGCGTACATGGGATAGAGAGGACATGAGAGATGAGTGTCGGAGATTGGAGCAGGGCAGGTACAATTGTAAAGCAAGTCCAGACAGCCCAGTAGCCCTGGGCAACAAAGGGAGGGGAACCCACACTTGCCCAGCTCCCCCATTACCACCCAGTACACATAACATGTGTGCACCACTGCCACCTACATAGAGCCAGTGAGCCAGCAGAAAGGATGAATACTACTCATATGTTCCAACCCTTGAGCAATCAAGAAAGGCCTTAGAGGAGAGGAGAGAGTACTAGGTCACTGTGACATTTCACAGTGGCCTCATGTTGAAACCTCATTCACCAGAGCCTCAGGCCTGTGGGGATTTATGCTGGGCCACCGTTGGCTCCACCTCCAGAATCTTTGAAGGCTACCCGCCAGCCTCAGACCTGGCAGGTTACCTGTACCTTGTCCTTCCAGCTGGCTCACAGGCATTTTGCAGGGTCAGGCCCAGAAGAGGTCTCTAAGCATCACTTCCCTCCTCTCTCTGCCTTCCTGTAGGTTCTTCCTAATCTGCTCAGGTGCACTATTGTCTCTAAAGCCTCTGCCTGGCCCAGACTCAGTCCTCTGTGAGGACCATCTGTCTTTTTCCGAAGACCTGGGAAAGACCAGAGGCTAGAGAGATGGTTCAGAAGTTAAGAGCAAATAATGCTCTTCAGAGAATCCAAATTCACTTCCCAGCATCCATGCCCAGCAGTTGACTACCACCCATAATCCAGTTTGAGAGAGATCCAGTACCCCTGGCCTCCATGAGCACCTGCATTCGTGTGTACCTATTACACACAGATACATATGTAGTTTAAAAATAAAATAAATTGGAGGGGCAAGGCCATAAAATCTGAGAAGCACTGATGCAAATGTGAAGCAAGGTAGGTGAGCCATGTCTGTCCCCCCACTTATCAGGCTCACACAGCACGTGCTCGTGTTGGAGTCCTACCATCTCTCTTGGGGTGCTGCTCCTCTCCTGTCTGCCTCCAGGCAGTTTGTCCATGGGCTCTTGAGAGGGCTCCTTGTCAGAACCATCCATGCCACGCCCCACCCTGGTTTCCTATAGTCTAAGCCCAGACTCCCTCAACAGCACCAAAAGCATGCTGGCCTGACCCCTGCACCTGCCTCTCCCTCTTCCTGCTCTCGCCACCATAGTCTCCCTTAGCTGTGTTGTATCAGCCTGAGGACCTTGGCATCTGCACAGCCTGTGGATGCTGACTCTTCCTGCAGTGGACTTTCCTACCTACCAACCCATCTCAGCCTCAGCACCAACTCCATAGAGGACTGCCTGGCCTCCCCAGCTGTGCTGAGCACCCATCATTGGCTGACTCTCCCCTGCTGCCTTCATTCTCTGCAGTTTTTAGGTTTTGTTACTTTGACTCCTTCCAGCCAAACAACAGTTCCCAAAGAGTAGGGTTTTTTTTTTACTTTTATGTTTCATTTGTGTGTGCATGTATATACACAAGTGTGCTACAGCATACATGGATACATGGCGTGGTGGAGGTCAGAGAACCTTGCAGGAGTTGGCCTTTTTCCTTCTACCTGGGATCAAACTCAAGTAAACAAGCATGTCAGCAGGGTTTTGTTTTGTTTTGTTTTTTAACCACTAAGCATATTGGTCCTGGATTTATTTTATTTTATTTTATTTTATTTTATTTTATTTTATTTTATTTTATTTATTTATTTTTTTTTTAGAGAAATTCTCACTCTGTAGCCCAGCCTGGCCTGGAATTACTTCACAGCCCAGGCTGATCTCAAACTCTTGGTATAATCCTGCTTCAGTTTTCCAATTGCTATATAGAGTAGGATTTTTGTCTTTGTTCGCTGCTTTAATTTTTAGAACCTGGTGTCTACTAAAAATCATTGTGTAATCAGCTGAATGAATGAATGAATGAATGGGAAAATGTATGGTCAGAATAGTTCAAACAATAAGGATTTGGGGTTTTCAACACTGACTGCATGTGG